AAAAAAAAAAAAAAAATTAGACTTACTGTTAGTCGTTTGACTCAGCGGTGTAGTTAGCAGTTTGTACAACATCATAGAATCAATATAGTGAGTTTATACCGTGACGTTAACTAGTATTGTCCTTCCCCTTTGAAGTGGCGTTACCCTTTCGGGACGAGGAAGCTAGTTGTGAGACACTAAGAACCTCTTGGTTACTCGTCCCCGGTCTATACTATGGACGTGTTGATGAGACTTCACCCCTGAAGAATTCTCCTACAGCATGACCTGCCAACTTGGCATATAGTGGACTAAACTTGATTGACAGTGAGAATGATGACCCCCAGGCGTCAAGGGAGAGAAGGTAAACCGTCTATGGTTGCCGATGTCATTACCATGGCAGAGATGGCGTAAGGGAGTTGAATCACACATTTAAGACGAATAGATTCCGACTTCTGCCAACTACAATTCTTCACTTATCTACGTTATACTCCCGTCGTCTTGCAGAACAATCTGCGCCTTCACCCTCTATCCTGTCTGGCGGCTTGAGAGAGACTCCGGCAGGGTTTCATTCGGCCATTCTTATAGAGTCGAAAACTTCCTCGTTACCGTCTTTCGGAACCGGATCCATGGCGCGCCGCCGACTGGCTCCGGAGCAACCGATGCCGTGGACCGATCGGCAAGCCCTACATCACTTCGTTCGACTGCCAGTTGAGACGGGTATGATCCAGTATTTGGCCCAACAAGTGCCGGCGGAGGCCCAATGCGTAGGTCTCCAACAATCCCGGCCGGGCGAAACTTTACCCCCACCCGCACTTGATCGATTCATCCACTCGCTATATCGGGCAGCTGTGGTAGGCGTGGGTACGCTCATGGCTTCGTTGGTTTACCTCGCCCGGATACGGAAAGCTCTCCAGCACACCGCAGAGGGAGGTCCTTTATCCCCACACGGAATTTTCCTCGGCTCGCTGATACTGGCGGCTAAAGTGTTGAATGACTGTAGCCCGGGAAATCAGTGTTGGGCCCAGTATTCGTCAATGCGAGAAGAAGACTCTGAGGTTTTCGGCTTCAGATTATTAGATGTTAACCGAATCGAACGCGATTTGTTAGTCTTACTTGACTTCGACGTCCTTATCACCGAGGTCGACCTCTTTCACCATTTCGAACCCTTCCTACTCCCTATACGGACCAAGATGGAGGCTGCACTAGGGGCTATACAGGTCACCAGCGGGCTGAAACGGAAGAGGATTGAAATCGAAGTTGAAGACAAGAGAAAAACGCCCAAGCGAAGAACAAAAGCTAAGGTAAAAAGCGTGTCGCATGCGTAGTGAGGGAAGTAACGTTAAGATTCATCAACTATCCATGCTGGTGGGACCGTCGTTTCTATGGAATAGCTTGCGTCATCTCGGCTATGATATAATCACCCTCGAGTAACAAGGTCAATAGGGAGATACAGGACCTAAGAGTAGTCTCATTTCGCCAATCTAGGCTCAGATACTACTTACTTACATGATTTAGTTTCAGCACGCTTTAGTATAGTACCAAGAGTTATTATTATGACGCTAATACAATACTAGCATTGTATCGTGATGAACCACCCTATCTTTCTCCAACGGCCCTCACACTGGCTCGAAATGAACCCCTCTCCGGCGAAAGAGAGACATTATCCTCTTTATTCCGAGTTAATGTCCCCTCTATTCTAGAGGCTACGCTGATGGAAGAGACGCTTCCGGACGAGATGATCCCTCTGGGAGGGTGTGGAGGTCGACCTAGAATTCGCACACCCTTCCCTCCCACTGAAAAACCACGACACTTTAATAAAGTTGGTTGTCCTGCACCTGGCCGTCGGTGGCAGCGTCTAGGCATCATAAGACAACGACCTCACGCCTTATGCGCCTTATGCGCGACTTTATACCTAGTAGTTACGGAATCCTTGTTTAGCTATCTAGCGCCAGTCTGAGCAGTTTTAGTCGAGCTCCGTAGTGGTGAGGCTTCCCTTCGAGCACAAACGTCACCGACAAAGTGTCTCAAACGTGTCGCTATCTGAGCGCCGATATCGTACGATGAATTGAATGATGAGGAGGAGATCGCGACTCCCCACCCAGATGGGCATTGGGCAACTTTGTCCTGCAATGGCGGATTCCAAGATCTCTCCTAGGGTCAATAGTGGCGATATCCGGTTGACATGTACTGTACAGCACTGTGTGGAGAGTTCTTCCTTTGGTACCGTACTTACATGGCCACACCATGGAAGTTCTTACTATTGACTGATGGTCCGGGTTGAAAGCAGGCCCATTGGCTGAGAAGTTATCTTTTAAATGATTGACGCTAAGATCTATGGGGGAAATTCGTGTCCTTTCGTCGTTCCGTTCCTAGTACCCTCGCCCTTACTGCCGCGGCGCCCTTTAAAAACTTCGACGTTGGTGGTTTCGTCGTCAAGGTTGGTTAAAACTTCCCAGGCGCTGTGTCCGCCCCTTCCGGTCCATTGTTGTTGTGACGGACGGTTTTTGAGCCCTTCGAACGAGACTACGCTATAGAGCGCGGGGCTGAAAACTCTCAGGTCGCTCCTTCGTGGGCGAAGATTTCCGATGCAAGCCGAAATACCCTGATAGAGCTATTGCCTAAGTTTAAGCTCAGATTGGCTTTCTGCGAGCTGAGACCATAACCTATCGCCTCCAATGCCGCCATCCCCACGTGCGTCGTCTCCGACCGAGTCACCGAGGCTAGAAAATCTCTCACGTGTCTACGCTTTACGCATCGTTGGGATAAAAGAAGAACGCCACAGCTACGCAGGCCCAAAATGCGGTCATCATGACTCCCCACACCCTGTCCCAGTTCATCAGTAATCGCCGCGCAGATCTCGCGGGAGTAAATTGACGACCCACCAATAGACGGTCGACCCCGCCAAAAAAAGGGCGATTAACAGTCCACTAAACAGGAGGGACATCATCTGAAGCCCGTCAAACAGAAGGGTGATTTGTGCGTCACCGACCGCCCATCCCGTCAGCACGGCCACCGGGAGGACGAGGAAGTATTGTTGGCAGCTCGCGCGCATGGATGTGGAGATTATCCAGCTGATTTCGTGCTTGCTGGCATGCATCGCCCCCACGATATGATCACTGAGCTGCAGCAAGAATGGAACCACCACTAAGCCAAGGAAACTTTTCGTCACATGAAGGCTCTCAGCGGGCGCGCCGCTCGTCTCAACGACGAATAGACTCGTGAAAACGGTGATGGCGGCCGCCATCACCGCCCCCACCGTTACCGTGATCGGTTGGAGGTGGAGTTGTAGCGTTCGCAAATGACGCCTGAACTCAATCGCCAGCCGTTTGGAGAGATTAGTAGCCGTTTCCGTCGCGGCCGGGGCCATTGCCACGACACCCACGAGGACCACCCCGGCAGTGCCTCTGACCTCGGTGTCGCTACCGTGAAAAAACCAAAAGATGCAGCCGTACAAGATTAACATGACGATCGCGAGCGCTCGCGACAAGGCAACGACATCTTGTGACCGGTCTAAAGAGAAGGGTCAACCTAAGCCGGCGACTTCACCACGGGCGCTCCGCTGCCTCACCTTCAGACCACGCGGAGTAGGCGGTGGGAATGACCAAACTACCCAGCCCAGTCATCAGTAGTTGTGAGTTCGTCTGCGCGAGCAGTTGGGGAAAGTCTTCAAAGTCACCACGCTGATCAGGCCGGCTGCCGATCAAGAAACACGAGCCCACAACCAAGAGCAAGTTGCATAGGATGGCGCCAACAATGGCTGTTTGCGCAATGATGGATTCGTGCTTGATAACGGCAATCACCGCAAAGATGATTTCCGGCGACGCTCTGTCATAGTTAGTGAGACCCGCGATAGTCAGTATTCTACCCAGTCCCGACGGGAGGACAGGGTCACCCCTACCCAAAAACGTAATCTACCAAGCCGCCTAGGAGATGCGAAGACACACAGGTGAAAGGATAAAGTGTGACCCAATGTACTAAGTGTCGAACGCACTTCCGAAGCAGCGTGCTCGCGGCACAGAGGGCGGCAAGGTTCAGGCAGAACGTGGCCAGGTCTGAACGGAAGCAAAAGGGTGAAACGATGGCGAATGGAGTTAGGAGAGTCGTCAAGAGAAAAGCACCCCAGGGTAAACACGCATATTGCGCCAGCGCGGCCCATCGGCCCCGGCTGAGGGATAATTTGTCCCACATAATTCCTGAATTCGAACGAGGAGTAGAGGGAAGACTCGAGCGAGCAAGAGGCTTTCTTTTTCTATAGCTGACACCGCAAGCCTGCAGTCGTGACAATAGCACCCTCTCCGTTTTGCTTCAATTTTCAAGTATCCATCGACCTCGCAACGCTGAGTGAGAGGGCTCTAGGCATGGCAAGCTCAATGTGAAGAAAGAAGAACGGAAGAATGTCATAAAGGAAACCAAGGGGGATGGAAAAAAAAATTAAAGGTGGTTTCGTTAGCACTGAGGGACGAACAACATCTTACAAAGTGGAGGGAAGAGTTATCCCATCCAATTGATCCTGAGGAAAGGACGACATGCTCCCGCTCCGACACAGTCAAGAAACCCATATCCTATAAAACACATTGTACGGTACTGTAGTACAGTATGTATCTGAGAGAGAAACCATTTGTGACATTAAGTGGGAATGCAAGTCTAAAATGCGTTCCGTGAACAATTAGACAGTATGAAAAGTAGAAAGAAAACCGATTTTCTCCTAAAACCCAAAATCGAAGAGGCAAAACCAAAATCAAAATTTAACTTGACGAAAATCTTCTGAGCCTTGACCATAGTAGATTCTTCGATAACCAAAAATACGGCGCTCCTTGAGCACTAACCCCAACCAGAAATGAATCTCATAGCCGATCGCTTTATGCGGTTGTAAAGAACCGCTGAAATATTGAATCGTCCCTTTCTCCCCCCAGGTCTCCAGCTGTTTCATGAACGAAGAGCATCAGATAACTACGTGCCGGATATTCTATCTGGAAGAAATGTTGTAATTTCTCTAGATTTTTTTCCGATCAAAATTAGTCGTGGACGATAGTGCTTAGTAGTCACATTCAAGCACGCGAGGTCCTCACACATGTGACCGAGAAGAGTTTCGACGACATCCTTCGCCTAGGGCGAGTAATGATCCCTTGGATCGCGTCGGCGGTTGCATCTGACGCCGTAAATCGGGTTACTCACGGGAGACCCCGCAGTGAGAGATATTTTCACCGTACTATAGGGAGAAAGGCTGCCGTACCGATATTTCGTCCACCCTTGACTTAGCCTTGTTTCATAAGCACCCACGGGATGGCGGCAAGCTTCACCGGGATTTCACGACGTGGGCTATACAGTAACAATTTGAGAATCACTTTGATCCGGCTCTTGCCACTCATTCACATAATTCCGAGGGTATCGCGGCGGAGGCGGGGTTGGGGAACGCTGGATTCCCAGCTGAGGCCGTTAGGTCGAAATATTTTCAACAGATTTTTTTATATTCGCTCGTTTTATTCTCAAACCTTCAATCTCTATAGCCTGTAAACCATTGCCCGGCACTTCCTGCCGCTCTTCCAGCCACGCAACACCGAAAAAAGGCGATAGAGGTTAAATTGATTCAGTACCAGGTGGGCGATTGGCGACCCGATCCTCTGGGATATCCTCGTCGTCCAGGATATCTGGATTGCGTTTGAACTCCCCGCTATCCACCACAGGACTGATCTTTCTCACGTCTCTCTCCACCACCGTCACGCCTTTTGGCAGTTTCTCCAGGTTTGAGGCATCCACCGCCATACACCGCGCAAGATATCGCAGCATTGCCGTAACGGCTCTAATCTTCTCTTCCTGGGAGCCGCTCAGTGTATTTTCCACCGCCTTTGTCAGCATCGCTGGAATATATGTAGGTTGCACGGCGGGCGCTTCAACCGACCCGTCCACATTCAGGCCACGCACCAACTTCTCTCGCACTTCATCTGAGATGCGCTCCGTAAAGGCAAAGTAGAAGACATCCGCATTCTCTGAATTCGATGTGTTGCCCAGACAGAACAGTCGCATCAAGGCACGATCTACTTGGTTTTCGACGTTGAATTGTCGCGAATAGCCGACTTGGTGGAGCAAATCCCGCTTGCGTGTCAGGACGATGTCGTAGCCTTGTCTCACATTCAGCTTTGCCTGAATGATGCCGTGCGCAACGTCATATACGTTGCGGTACGACTGGACGATCGGCTCAATCATCTTCTTGGCACAGGTCCAGTCTTCGTGACCTGAGGCTCCCGCAAGGTCCAGGATCTGTTCCATAAATCGCATCTCAAACGCTCGATCATGACCTCGCATTTCAACAAGTCCTGTGAGCGCAGCCGGTGCGTTCTCGGCCTGAGCGAGCTGCCCAAAATTGAAGTCTGAACCCAGTTTGATTCCTTGCAGGAGATAATTCTTCTCTTGTTCGCTCAGACGATTCAGTGCGGGGACCATTCCGACCTTGACTGCATGGTAGAGAATCATATCATGGTTAACTTTGGAGATATCGTCCCCGACTAGTGTAGTATAATCTTTCGCAAGAGCGGGATCTTTGCCCAGATCGTTGATGACCATCGAGATTATGAGCGCGTAGGTATCTTCGGTAGATTGGAGGCCCTTGCGGAAGAGATCACGGAGCCAGTCGAAGGAATCGCGCTTCAACACAATGGGTGGCGGACTCTGTGTGCCCACAAAAGTCGCGTAGTCACCCTGGTGAATCCAGCGCAGGGCCAACACACCAACAAGCGTGCGATTGATCTCGGCGTAGTCTTGCCCGTATAGTGTTTCGGAAATCGAAGGTCCTTCCGGGCGAGCTGCCTTCGGGTTGCGGAGAAACGTGGCATTCTTGAGCCGTTCTAGTTCCCACGGAAACTCAGATTTGATTAGTCGGAGGAGCTCCATGTCCTCCATCGTCCAGAAGGATTCGTTTTTCATAGCCTCTTGTAGCGGCGTATTTCCCGAAGGCTCCTCCACTTTCTCCATCGAGCTTTCAGACTCTGGTACACTTCCACCACGGTGCGGGACTGGAGAGGTAGTCGGAGGAGGGCAACTTGGGCCCCCGTGGGGAGAGACCGAGATTCCTTCTGGCACGCCACTAAGGGTCGAGGGTGGTTTATGTTGGTAGAGACCGAAGCTCAGGCGCCCCGGTAGAGATGCGTTCGATCGGATGATGAAAAAGCCTTCTTCCGCACACTCCTGGTCATGGAGGTCCCCGCTAACCGCTAGCCCTACCTCCTGGAGGGGCGCATCCGGGTCCTCCCAATTTAGATACTGGACGTATGGTTCGCCGATGGACGATTCTTTAACAAGCTGTGGTGGAATATGGTAGCATTCCTCGCGGGAAAAAACACTTTTCACGTTGAGCTTTAACCCCGATCGAAAGTGAATCTCATTGGCGTTCCCCTGAATACCCACATAATCCTGTAACGAAGCAAGGAAATCCTCTCTCACTCCCCACACGTCCCATATTTTCCGACTCGGAAAAAGGAAGAGATAATCTCCCTGAGGGTCACCCAGGAGGAAGAGTTTCGCCTTATTACCTGTACAGTATTTTTCCACCCAGGTGTAGGTGTTGAAGATTCGATCAAATGCCGCCCGATGTAGTTGCCGTTGTCGTTCATCCAACTTACGAACGTACGTCCCAATGTCCTGTTCTTTAGCCGAACAGGACATAAATTGTGACTCTCCCTCACCTTCACCGGCGGATACGTAAAAGGCGTCTTTCGGAACCCACTTCAACGCGGTCGCGAAACGGTTCGGAAAGTTTACCCGCCAACACACTCCGTGACTGTCGAAGAGTACGACCTCCCCGTTCGCTCCAATGTGTGCAACCCTTTCGACTTTGGGATCCAACTTCACCGTACCTGAGGCGTTGCATTCGAAGTCACGGGTTTCATACCTCGTTCTATCAACGTTATCCAGGCCGTGCAACTCTGTCAGCGGTGTCCAAGTAGGTGCTTGTTGTCCGATATCTCCCCACTCCGTAGCCACGGCCGACATGCCTCCGTCCGCTTCGAGGCCAACAACCATAAGGTGAGGTGAGTTTCGAAGTTGGACTACTTTGGCCATAACAATACCGACATTCGTCTTGTCGTCAAATGGTATCAGATTGATGTCAATATTGTGCTCAGGCTCAAGCGCCGGGCTTCTGATGGCGATCGACCCCACGCTGCAGACGATGAGGCTATCTTGAAAGGCGTCCAAGTGCACGACCTTTACCTTACCTTGCGGGAAGAGCGGGAACCAGCGCTCCGGGTCATTAGTTTTACTTTTAAAGTTCCAACTGAATATTTCTCCGTTCTGTTCGACGCGAAGGGTATTTTTAACAAAGATAGGAATCGTAATGTTAGAGGAGGTGTAAGCGGACATTAGTTCTTCCAAGTTCCCCGCATGGTATTCCCATACTCGAATATGATTCGCATGCAGTGTGACGATGCCGATATAGTCCGTACCACCCTGCGCCCACTTGTGCGCAGAGAGATAGAGTATAGGCGATATTTGGGAGTGCGTATCTATGCATAGCCAGCTATCATCAGTAGACATAGCTTCTCCTGGCTGAGACGGAGACCAAGACACTGCAAGAAATGGACTACTAGATTATGGAATGACCTAATAGGGTAAATAGATACTCAATTGACTTAAGGTGACTCGGTAGAGAGTTTATAGGAAAGCGGGAGTTCCGGGAGGCGTGTAGGCTATTTGATATGCCGCTGTAACTGATATACGGCTCCGTAGCTATAGAAAAGAACGTTTAAAAAGATATTAACGCCTGAGCTGGACGGAAATCCAATTAGTCGAAAGTTATAGTTACTTTTAATTTTTTTTTTTTTTTCCTCAGTTTTCTTTTCTTTTCTTTTCTTTTCTTTTTGGAAGATGTAGAGCGGGAAAAAAAGCGAAACGATAGGAGAAAATACAACGGCCTATA